CAGCTAATGAGTTCCTGTGTTGCAGTGAATGTGGTGTTGTACAGTGTTTCTCACACTAATTTCTTGGGAAATCTGGGTCTGTAATTTGGTGCAGTCCTCACAGCAGGAACGTATTTCATCTTCTAAGGTGACGTCAGCCACTCTTGTCCTGGCATTAAAAGTCAGCCAATGTCCCTTCCAGCTTTCCCATACAATCAGCAGCCAGAAAATCAGTGTTGTGCTTGGGAACACCAGTGTCAGGAAGTGTGAATGTGGCTGTCCTGCTTCTGGTGTCAGGGCTACCCTCTGGGAACCAGCCCCAGTGCAACACCCCCTCTATTTCAGAGAATGCCCAATCTTTCCTTCAGGAGCACCTACAAGTGCTTTGCAGTGCCACACTGGAGACACGATGGATAGATCTCCCCCCAGGAGAACTTGGGGGTTGGAAGTCACTTTAGGGTCTTTGATGCTTTTCTCTCCTTCCCCTGGGGAAGGCAGGGCCAGTGGGAAGGGGCTGGGTACCAGCAACACTCGAGCATCCCTGGGGCTACCAGGGGCACCAGGACATCCCTTGCAATGGCTCTGCTCTGTTTTTATGGTGCTGCCTGCTCACTTCCATTTTCAGAGGGTGGCATAGCTGAAAGTGAAGCTGTGCACCCCTCAGGGGAGATATTCTGGAGAACACCAGCCGGTTCCCCAACTCCACCGCAGAGCAATATTGTTTCACCACAAAAAAATCTCACTGGCCAACACACAGCAGGTCTGGAGCAGCCCCTGAGAAGCACCAGGCTCTGCATCCCATTAGGGCTGCCCGGAGGAAGCTGGACAGGATTTTTATTAAATCAAGCTCAGTCAATGCTTAAAGAAGGGCTTTTTTGAATTACGAGCTGAACCTCATGTTTGGTGCCCTGCCAAGCTCAGGATAGTGCGAGGAAGAAAAGGAGATGTATTTTTGGACTCCATGTCTGCTAACAGGCTGTTAGATAAAATTAAAGAGTCTGTTTATAAAGAATCCGCTGGTGCTGAAGCAGATGTGGAGGCCCGAGTTTATGACAAGATAAATTTCTGGTGTTGGCATGAACAATCAATTTCATTCAGGACTTTCCTAATTCCGTAATGATTTGTTGGTTTGGGATTGATTTCTTTTTTATTTATTTCATTATTTTAACTGAAACTGGCACAATGCCCTCATTACTTGTGATAAACTTGTTTGTTTACTTATGTCGTGGTAACCGGAGAGCTGGACTCAGGCTCTGCTTCCTTGGATGCTGGTTGTTTCCTACCAGAGCACTTGGAGCTGTCTGACACTGGCACTGTGTTTTAAAAATACACTGCTTTCCTCAGCCTTGCAGGCAGTAAGGGCATTGCTGTGCTTTTACAAGAAAAATCAAGAGCACAAGTGAAGGCACATAGTCATTAATTATGTATGGTTTGGGTTTTTCCTGCCTTGCTGCTCCTCCTTGGACCCTACACTGAGTCCTGACTTCCTTATGGCACAGATATAAACTTGAAAGAGAGAAGCCCAACACCATTGCTGTGATCTAAATCCACAGCAGGGCATTGCATATGGAAGGCATAATATTTGATGGTAAATTTTTGTTTGACATTATAGTAGAAGTTAAGGGAAAAGGTGTCATCCTTGGCCTAGGGTTTCATAAGTGCCACAGGCAGATGGGCTCTTTTAAACTTTCCCCTCCTCTTCTAAAAGGAGAAACTCACAATCTGGACTCAAGCAAACCTTAAAGTCATAAAATTCCAGGTTCCAATAAATCTTTGTTTTATAAAAACACATCAAGCATATATCAAAACAGAAACTGTAAAAGAAATTAAACATGTGTGTGTCACATACTCTGCTGGATGCTCCTTAATAGTTTTTGCAGGATCAGTGGAATAACGAGGTGCAGTTTTGCTCTGTGAAGTTTTGGCACCTCCCTGCAGCGCTGTTGGGCTGCCCAGGATGCCCACCCGGAATACGAGCAAGCACCAGGGGAAGGGATGGAGCTCCACTCCCGTGTCCTCTCCCACCTTTCCCAGTGTGGACAAGCTGGGCTGTAGCTGAATCCCCACAGGCCCTGGGCATCACATCTTCCCTTTGGGGACCCAGCAAAGTGAGGACTTGTTCGTCCTGCCCCAGTGAGTGGCAAGGCCATAGCAAACAACAGTGGTGTAAGTCAAAGGGAGGGAAAAGTAAAAAGGTATCTGGGAAGAGGATTTGCCTGCCTGTTCCCATAAAGTGGAAGAGCAAAGCAAAAACGAAAGGAACTGGGATCACACTGCAGAGACACAGATTTTAACAAGCTCCTTTTCAGGGCTTTAAAAGATTATGCATGTGATGTAATCTTGACATTTCCTGGCTGACTGGTGATTTCCTCGGATCAAATACCTGGAATGCTGGGGACTTGTCACCACCTCGTGCAGCTCCTTTTACTTGCAGCACCCCGGCGGACACAGAAGGAGTGAGGCACAAGGTTCTGGGTCAGCGGGCAGGACCTGCACCCCTCTCCCTGTGCTCCCTCTCACCCTGACAGGGTAAGACATGGAGCACACATCTTCCCTTTTAGAAATTCCCCTTAACTTTGAGGGTTGAGGTTTAAGGCTCCTGGCCATGGCTCCTGCACCCACGAGCCTTGGCAGAGAGACTAAAGCCTGCAAGAACCCTGGCAGGGACAGACCCTCAAACCTTGTAACAATATATAATCTATTTCATTCAATCTGTTGTAGAATGACAATCTTATAAAATTCCAAGTGACTTGCTGGAGTAGTCAAAACCAAGACCAAAAGCCAGCAAAGCCCTACAAATTTTGGGAACCTTCTTATCATGAAGATTCATCAAGTTTCTGCTGGTAGTGTACTGAGACTTGAAAGTTAGGGGGAAAGAGAAAAAAAACTGCAGCAAAACATTTATTAGCATTTTTTCAAGCATTGGGACAGGCTTGCCAGGGAAGTGGTAGACTGCCAAGCCTGGAGGTTGCACCCAGAGCAGGGACCAAGCAGGTCACAGTGGCAAACCCCCATTCTGACTTAAGATCCTCCATCCTCTGCTGTAGTGGGCAGAAAGGAAAAAAAACCACAAACTCTCCCCAGAATTTTTTTATCTGGATTTCCAAAGAGTGTCTAAATTTGGGTTGCTCAGGAGCTCTCTATTATCAATTACCCTAAAATAGGTACAACCAAAGGCAAGCAAAGAAGCACCTGTCTGGGAAGCACTCATACCATGATCAAAGACTCCAGGCAGCTCTTCCCTACCTCCTCTTCCCCACCAGGGAACCACTGGCAAATCAAGTCAGCTGGAGGCTGCAGGTGCCAGGGGATCAGGATGGTGGGAGCTGCAGGGGTCACCCTTCTGCTCCTGACCTGGCAGGTTCAGGCTGGCAGTGCCTTTTGCTGTGTGTAAACAGGGAAGCTGCAGCTGAGAGGTTAATGCAATTCCCCTCTTAAAAAGTATTTAGAAAGGGCATTTAAAAGAGTATCACCAACTAATTTAATGCAGCACCAGCGTGGCTTTAGTAATATAAAAAAAAAATCCTAATATTGAAAAGAATATATATTTTGTTATTATTTCAATTCAAAGAGTGTAAATAATTGATAGAGGATGTTGCAACCCTTCCAGCACAGCCCTGCACAGCAGAAAGAGAAAGTGAAACAAAGTGCAAGCTGGAAAGCCCCCGGGAGGGCAGGGAGACAAGGCCAGGAGGAGCCTTTGGCAGGGCTCCTGCCTGCCCAGTGCCTGCTCCAGGCTCCCAGTCCCAGGCAAAGTCTGGGCAGAAGGTTACAGCAAGGATTAGTTAAGCAGCATGGGTTGGTTTTGGTTTTTAGCTTAAATATATCCCATGCTCCGGCTTTTTATACTCACTTGGAGAGGCATGGTGTGATTTTCAGGCTTGGGCCACTTCAATTTTATTATTGCAGGTGGCCCGAATAAACTTTCCCGAGGTTTTTCTTGTATGTTTTCTAAAGAGAACTGTAAAATGAACAATGAAGAGATTTGTTGGAGCTTTTGAATAAGGATGGGGAGCAGCTTCCTCATCAGTTTTACAATTATGCACTCCACTTTGCCTCAACCCTGGCATTAAATGCATCGTCCCAATGCCAAAAAAATCAACAGTACTTACCTGACAGACGCAGATATTCTGGTGCACAAAACAACTGTTTATTACAGGCATTTCAGGCAATCTGAATTGTGTCATGCATCCCTGTTTCCACCTTTCTTTCCTACGTTTTGCTTCACTAAAAACCTCCACAAAGCTGCATGCATGTAATCTGCTTCACACAAACAACCTCCCAAGGTTAATTTATTACCAATTAACTTGAGGAGCTCAACACCTTTGCAAAGGCTGGTGTGAACGCTCAAAGTCTATAGCTGGAAATCAAATACAGGTAAATCTCTGATTAAAAAAATAAATAAGGAACATGATTAGTAATCCTTTGGTGTTTGGCAACCAAAGCAAGTGGAAAAGGGAGCACAGCTAAAGACCACACACCCCTTTTAGGGGCAGAACTACACACTGTGCAGCACAGTAGGTTCTCTCTGAAGTGTTTTTAAAAGTCTTCTGTGGGACAAAGGAGTTGTCCTGTACTTTTATTGTTTTAAAATTAATGCAGAAAAATAGGAAAATAGGGAGTTGCCTCTGCAAAAGTCATGGACCAGTGATTAAGCACAGGGGATATCAACTTGAATTCAAGTTTTGAGAGCACCGAACAGAGAAAAGTCCATGGAAAAGACTCAGTTTGCAAGTTTACCTTTGAAAAACCACCTGTGGAGCCTCCTCTGCCTTTTGGCCTTTTTCTTTAAATCCAGGAGGTCTCAGTGATGAGAGATTTCTGCACGCTGCAGGCATGAGCCACTGCTCGGAGCAGCGCTCTGGAACGCGCTGTCTCCTTGTTTATATTTCAGTGCTACGCGTGATTAATCCTCCATTTCATTCATTGTCTTTTTACTTCTCTGCTACTGGGAACAGTAAATAAGAGGGAAGTTGTAACAAGAGCCTCCCTTTTATTCAGAGACCTTCTGTTTCCTGCAGGCTGGCGGCTTCGAAAAAAATCACAGCTCCATTGTGCTCCAAAGTCATACTGAATGATTCAGATGGAAAGAAAAACCCACGTCAGAAGGAACAGGGGATTCAAAGACGAGTGTCGAGGCCAGCAGACCAGGGACATCGATCCCAGGCAGCAGCACATCCTGAGAATGTTGCACCCTGTGACAGCAGCAACATTATGGTTTATCTCTCTGCACCGGGGTCTGTGGAAGACAAGTGCTGCTCCCGGTACTGGGGGTGTCCCGGGGCACCCCTGGCCCCACGGGACTGGCATCGATTGCCCGGCGGTGGTGGGGCAGCAGGAAAACGCTCCTCTCCTACCTGGAGGACGCAGATCCAGCCCCCAGCAGCTGGGGAAGGTGAACTCACTCCTTCCTCCTGGAGCAGGGCTGGCAGCAGTGGAGGTCAGGCAGGGCAGGAGGAAGGGACAGGGTCACCGGCGGCAGAGGCAGGCAGAGCCCGGGGACTCCTGTGCGGAAGCAGAGCATGCAGTGACAGAGACAGTGTTGCCATCACCGAACATCTGGTGCGAATGCTCCCCAAAAATAGATCACTTCCTTTCTTCCACCTCAAAGGAAACAGTGTTGGAAGGAGACTCAGATACAGCAGGGCTGGTGCAAGGTGGGGTCTCGTTCACCGTCAGCCTCCCACTGGGAGCCACTTAAACATCCCGGGGTGTGACTCTGGGACCAGACATCAGTCTCAGGCAGGTTCTAAGGGATTAGTCCTGAGAAACGCCCTGACAACCCACGTGGGTGCCCAGCCTCTCAGCACCCTGGAACAGAAACCCACCAGCACTTTCCATCGTGGCTGGTATTGCAAAACCAATCCCTCTCTTCCCAAAGCTGCTCTCGTGCCGAGGGGCTCAGGCTGTGATCAGCCCTCACCTGCATTTTCCCGTACCAGTTTTACAGTACAGTGCTGCTTCACAGCATCTTCCTTATTGGCAGGCGTCAGGAGAAATGTGTGTCAACAAATCTGAAGCGAGCGTAAGCGCCGCTACAGTCAAGTCTGATAATAAAACATGAGTCACTGTTATTCAATCATTTACCGGCGCATGTCTTGCAAGAAAGTTCTCTCTTCTAGGAATCACCACCACACAAATTTGAGAGTTGTTTTAAAGAGCACCTTGATGCTGAGTTTTCAGAGGGCTGGTTCCTGCTACCCCTACTTGCAGCCCACTGTCCCGTGCTCCCTCTCCATCTGCGTTTCAAAGCCAGGCATGAGGCACCCAGCCCTGGCATGGCCTGATGCTCTTCCCAGGAATTTTCACACCCAGTGTCTCCCCAACACCAAGAGTGAACTGGCAGCAAGGAGAGGGCTGCTGGGACTGACCCCCCCAGTTGCCATCAATGCCCCCCACGCCATCTGTAGTGCTGCTGGACAGTGTTCAGGGGACTTTTCCCCTGGGATGGGATGAGGAAGAGCATGGTTAACCTCAGCGTTTTGGCAAGGGAGACTTTTTCCCATAAAGATATTATTTTCATTGTTTTCCTACATTTCAGTTTGGGGAAGGAGCAGGAGGGGTCAGGAATGTCATCCCAGACATTTCTTCAAAACTGTTTTTATCCTTGGTAACAAATGCCCCTGCCAAACACAGCAGCACACGTCCTCGGTTTCCCCTCCATAAGCCTGATTTTTTGAATGGCTTCTTGGAAAAAGCATTTACATGGTGACCTCTTGCTGCTGTAAGATGTGCAGGGAGATGGGTCCTTTCCAGGCATTCAAGCTGTAGTGCTTGGTCCTTCCTGTTTTTACTGAGGAACTTTTGGGAGGTCAGGAATACATGAATTGAGCTTTTGCTGCCTTAATAGGTGAAAGGCTGCTGGAAGCACGTGGATAAACTTCCTCTGTGCCAAATGACCGTCATTTAAGTCAAACACTTTTTAACAATAGACGCAAAATTTTAAAAGGTGTAGTTAAAAAAAACCCCGCATTTGTCTGTCTGTCCTCCTTGCTGCTCTGCCTCTTGCTGCCTAGCTTGATCTCGAGCACTCCTGCTGCAGGGAAGGAGCTTCTGATGAGCTTCTGATGTGGCAAACAGGTAGACTAAGCTAATTTATCACTCAAGTCTTTTATTCCATCACAGAGTGGCAAAAGGGAAGGCTCGTCTCTCTTGTGGGTCACCTCTAATAGCAATTGCTTCAGCAAGATGGATTTCAAAATTAGGTGCTCTTGAAGCAGAAGCCACACTGTATTTTTCAACAGCACAAAGCAGCCGTAAGAGGAATCTGACCTTCATTCTTCATAATAAATTCACTGGGGAAAAAAAAAAATCCATCTTTGTTTTTCAGCTTGAAGTACTGTCAAAAGAAAAGCCAGGGCACACACAACATTTACAAAATAAAAATACAAGACAACTTCAGCAAAATGATAAAAATCTCAGGGATTTACTTTTCCTGCTTTTTCTTATTTAAACATTAGAATAGAGTCTGACAGCTTGCCTGCAAGTACATATATTTGAAATAAAGGCTGGTGTTAATTTAAAGTGGCTCTATACCAGGCTAAATTAAGGCCACCTCAAAGTGGTTTTCAGATGTAGAATGCAATCCAGTAGCTAAGTCTGGGTAAAAGTTTATCGATACACACCCACATTTAGGCACTCCATTGGACTTTGCATGTTTGTAAAATGTCTCTGAATGTATTTCAGGTGCTAAAATAATGTCTGCTGCAGCCTGCCAAAGGAAAATGTCACACAGTTATTTTCTGCTAAAGCGCCCCAAAAAGATGCGATCTGCAGACAAGTACAGACTTGTAAGCTGAAGAACATAATGGAGGAATGCTTGAAAATATTTGGCATTTTACTGTTATTAATGAAATGATTGGTACATTTGAGTCCTAAAAGCCTGTAGCTAGTCAGCTGCCACTGGCACAGCCTGGAAATGGTGAAAATTAATAGTCTCTTCTATTAAGCACTATCTTTGTATTTTGCCATGTCTCCATTACAGACTCTGTATTGAATAACTCATTACAACCCAACACAGCACATTGCCTTTATTCCTTTAATCTCCTGTCAGGCATAGCTGGGAAGGCAGAATGGGAATGTTTATTCTAACCAGCAGGTCTAACCCTTAGGCTAGCAAGAATTAGGAGAGATTTTTTCCAAGCTCGGCTTGTCCCCCATCCAGAGAACCTAATGCTCTGACTGCAGTCCACCTGGCTCCTCTTCTGGAGGAGTCACTCAAATCAATATTCCCACTTTCCAGCAAGCCTAGACCCAGCTGTTACTCAGCCTTTTCTTTCAGGATGGGTTGGCTACACTGATAAAAGCAGCTGTAAAGGGGCTGTGTCAGCAGTGCCCTAATTAAGCTGCAGAAATCAGCCACTTCACACCCCTTAGTTCAGGTTTCCAGGGGCCCGTTTGCCTGGACAGAAACATTTTGTTAAATAAGCTCAGCTTTTTGCTAGAGCTGGTGTGATCGCTGAAAGCCTGGCAGGATGGATGAACACTGTCCACACATTTAGTTAAACCAGCTTAAAATTACAGAGCATATCTAGGTGGCTGCAACTGCAGCTCCTTTCAGGACCAACTCGAGATAAACAACCATAAACATCAGTCTGGCTTCATTTGGCATTCAAAGTATCGCCAACTCCCACATATTAACATTCAAGTTCTCTCCAGACCAATCAATCAATTTTTTGTTGTTCAGAAAACAAAAAGACTTTTCTTGACCTCTGCAACGAGCATTTATGTGAAGGTTAAAGCCCTAGGAGATGCTTTTTGATAGTGATGTCAACGCTGTCAGTTCCCCTGTAGGGAACCACCACCTAAACAGCTGTAATTTCACCACTCATTATCCCTCTTCTACAGCAAGCACCCGCTTCTAAAGATCAAGGGGAGGCAGGTTCAAGCTGAAGTGTCAGCAGTAACTGCCCTCCGACCAAGTAATCTTGGAGCGGCCAAGTCTGACCTATGAGTGAAGAGGCTCAGACAGTTTTGACCAAGAGGATTATTTAACCACTGGAGCTTGCAGAGGAGCACAGCTGTGGAACAGGGAGGTCCTTTCCAGCAACAACCCTCAGCAGCTCTTCCTTAAAACAGACAATCTCCCTACGGCGTTCCTCTTCACCGAAGAACACTTCCACTGTTTCAGAGCAGTTTTATAGCAGACACAGGCAAAGGCTTCAGTCCCAACATCCATGTGCCAGCTCAGCAGAATTACAGGCACCTGCTGAGTGCTCTGAGAAGACTATGGCCACTCTGGAGAGCTGGGCAAGCTTTGGAGCATCTCCCACCCAACACTGGCCTCTGCAGTGATACAGGGGGTTCTTTTGCTCAGTAAGCAGCACTGATAATGACATTACCTACCCTCTCCAGCCTCGAGCACGCTGTGTGCTACCAGTGTGCTAAAGTCAAAGGCAAGGCAAAGGCCGAGCCTGGCTGCCAGGGAAGCGCTCGCTACTCATCTTTTAAGTTCAGCTGAATCCTCTAGGTTACTTCTGTCAACATCAAGCACCGAGAACAAAGGCACAAAATTATGGGGATCTCATTAAGTATGCTTGTTCCAAGAACAAGAAATGTGTCTACTTTCCTCTGATGACCTGGGGAAACAAAAAAACCCTTCAGCACAGAAAATTTATTTGTCATCAGTTACGAGCATTTGAATGTGTAATATCCAGTTTAAGGAGACAAAAAAGTCTGTCTGTCCTACCCTTTCTATATCAAGACCTTGCAAACAGCATCATTCTTCTGCTTGAAACAGAAAGCAGGGATGTACATATCTGAGAACACCAACACACACAAAAAGCCCCAAATCCTTAGGGTATTAAGTGAGCCATTTAACTAAGTATTTAAAACCTCTGCAATTATTAGTTTATTAGTATCATCCAGGATTTCAGATGTTCAATATTTCTCCTGAAGTTATACATAAATGCAAATTGAAATAAGAATCTGAAAGTCAAAATTGTATAACAAAACAATACTCCATCACAAAAGCGTGTAAAATTACAAGAATGCTTTTTTTTTTCATTTGTTTTTAAACACTGGCACTTAAGAGAACCATAATTTTGTAACCACAAAATTGCCGAATTGTCCCCCAAACTGGTAAGCAGGTATATGTGAAAATAGTTACAGCTGCCAGCACTTGAAGTTTTACTAAATATGCAAAAAACCCCTTAGCTTTGGTTTTGGAAGAGAACTGTATTTGACCAAATTAGACATTGTTGGTATACCATAAACATTTAACTTTTTAATGCAAAATTTAATAAAATGTACTTTTCCATACAACTATATTTAACTTAAAAATGGGCAAACATCAAGAGTGCGGTATAAAACCTAACAGGAAAAATACATCTTATCTCATTTTCAATTTGAGACAATATACAACTTTGTTTAAAGGGCTAAAACTAGAATTTCAAGAATACAAATATGAATTTACATAGATTTAACAAATAATAATGGTACCATTTATAGAAATCTTAGAAAGAAAAATCATTTCTTGTGGGCCCTTTGCTACCAGGAGTCTCATGGTATAAAGCCCATGGCCATCACCAGACCTGTCACCAAAAAATAATATGGTCATTTCATGCTTTTAACTTTACACATTTTAGGTATGCTCATCACTCCCAGGTGTTCAGAGATTTACAAATATAACTTCCATTACATGGTAACAGAGTCACACGTGTAAATTTCTCTACACCGGATGGACATACACTCTTCCTATGGGTCCTTCTAGGACAAAATTTAACATTCCCTCCCTCCCCACCCCCCAAAGTATTTAGTTTCTGTAAAATTGAACTCTATACTTCTCAACTCTCCAAGACTGGTAAACTCATGCAACGCAATAGAATATTACATTTCACAAAAATCTGAACAAGTATCCGTTTGCTGAGATTGAATTTTTGTTGTTTCCAGTTATGGAAGATTTTCATCATATGCCTATATATTTCTTTTCTTACCCTATCATGATAATTCAGGGTATGCAGATCAAAGCTTTGTTTATCAGCTGGTTATATGAAAGATGAAAACTGTAATATTCCCGTGATCCCATACGGGCATTCAATAAAGCAAAAGATGAGTTCCCCTCAAAAGAAAAAAAAAAAAAAAGAAAGAAAAAGTATGATTCTCAAGGGCACCTATTAAAAGGACAACAATACTAATAAAAAAAATTGTATTTACTTAGAAGCATTCAGAATGTCAACAAAACAGCTGCAACTTTTTTTCTTCCTTTTTGCAATTACAGAGTGGTATTCAGTTAACAGAACAACAATTATTTTTATGATGCATCAGAGACAACTGAAGATGAGAAATGAACTACATCCCCAAATAGAACTAAATTTTGTGCTGTGCACCAACAAGAACCTGCTTTATAACTCCCATGCCAATTTACAACCCCCACACTGTACCAGGCAAGGTTAGTGGCCATTGAAATACCACTAAGGACAGGGCTATCTAAAGACACATTCGGTAGTGTGTTAACTATACAAAAAAAGAGACACTGTACAGTTTAAAAACAAATCTTACACAGCCTTACATTTCAATTTTTTTTTTCTTTAAAAGGAGTGAGTTGTGTACAGGGGGGTTAAATGCTTTATAGACAAGAAAGAAATTGCTCTAAAAGAGACTTATTCATCATCATCATCATCTTCATCCTCCTCTTCCTCCTCCTCTTCATCATCTTCATCCTCTTCATCTTCGTCCTCATCCTCCTCCTCTTCCTTCTTCTTCTTGCTCTTCTCAGCCTTGGCAACTACTTTCTTGCCTCCATCAACCTTCCCTTTGGCCCGGTATGCAGCGATATCCTTGGAGAAGAAAAGCAGGAACAATCTCTCAAAGATTTAACCAGCCAAGAGGTCTGAGCAACCTCCACAGAGCACTTGTGGAAGCATCACCCAGGTACCTGCCCT